TTCACTAATAAGTTGTATGCTAACTTGGACAAGTGCGTCTTTGTGCGCGGAAGAGATACCTTTCCTCGGGTGGAAGCGTGGCTTACGGGCAGATCCTGCCTAAGTCAAGGCCATCGTTGACTGGCCGGTTCCCAAGAACCAAAAAGACTTACGCAAGTGGCTAGGCTTAGCCAATTACTTGCACAAGTATAGCGCGAATTACGCGGAGATGGCTCGGCCATTATCAGATCTCCTTAAGAAGGATGCACCATGGTGCTGGAACGTCGAGCACGACGGAGCCTTTGAGGCTGTGAAGGAGAGCCTTCTCCAGGCTCCGATCCTTGCGCTACCGGACCCGGATAGTCCGTTTAGCGTCGTCTGTGACGCCTCCGATTTTGCAATCGGTTGTGCTTTACTACAAGCAGACGCCGAAGGGCGTGAACGCGTGATCGCATTTGAGTCTCGCCAGCTCAAAGCTGCAGAGAAGAACTATCCAGCTCATGACAAAGAGCTACTTGCAATGAAGTATGCTCTAGTCAAATTCAGGGTACACCTGCTAGGCTCTAAGCCTTTTGTGATCTTTACTGATCATGCGTCGTTACGCACTGCGACACAGTCGCCTCATCTCTCTCAGAGAATGGCAAGATGGCTTTCCTTCTTTGCCGAGTATAACTTCGAGGTGAAGTACAAGCCGGGGCGGCTTAATGTAGTGGCCGATGCGCTCTCGCGCAGGCCGGACTACGAGTTAGCCCATGTCACGACAGTGACGTCGTCAGTGCCTGACTTGATACGCGGAGCGTATGTACAAGACGACATGTGCGTAGCGCTGCTACGGGCTCTTGTGAGCGAAGAGTTTCTAGACTCTGACAAAGAATTGTCTGGGCGCTTACGCGCGAGGCTGCATCGATACTCGCTCGATGGCGGCCGTGCTGTACTACAGCACCGACGCTGAGGGATAACCCTCGTGTAGTCGTTTCCTCATGATGAGGATCTCAAGTATCGAATCCTCTATGAGGTTCATGATACGCCCGTGGGCGGGCACTTAGGTCGGGAGAGACCTACGGCTCGGTGAGCACGATGTACTGGTGTCCCAAATGTATAGTGGGTCGGCACCTATGTACGCACGTGTGG